GCCTTGTTATTTAATGCACAAAGCACATTGCATTCAGTAGAGGTCCCCACATGTTTTGCTTGTTTGTTAATTTCTTACAAATCTCCTTCCAGTTTTAAGATGAATGAACACGAGTTTTGCAATACTTCTATCCACCTCGTGTTTTCGTGAAACATGGAATCAGCCTGGACATGAATCTCGAAAACGGTTCAAACGATTTTCCTCGTTGGCCATACTGGAGAAAACTCCTAGGTTGACCATTATAGTTTGTCAAAAGTAAAAAAGAAAAAGAGACACATTTAAATTTGGCTAGAGAACAAGAACATAAATATTGTAAACGGACTATACGTCTTCCAGTAGTTCAGCATTCCTTGAAGAGTTTCAGAATTTTATGTTCCGGAAAAGTTTGTGCATCGTCATCTAAGTCTAGATCTAAAGATCTATCGTTGGAATGTTATAAAGTGTAGCATATCTATACATTCGCTTAACCAGGAGTCATTCTCGGGGGGAAGTGGGAGGAATGGGGCGGTAAAAAAATGTTCCGTTGTTTTTATTTTAATCTAACATTCATAAGTTAGTAAGAAGAAAACACCCGCTCTATACGTTTTTTAAAAAGGAGGTCTTGTCTTTTTTTAAAAAAGTATTTGTATTGCTTTTCCTGTTGATCTACCCAGACGGTACGAATGGAATTTGAAAAAAGCTGATCAGCGATGACATACATTCAAGCTTTAGGGCGTAAGGGAAAAACCTCTTCCGATAGGAGAACGCAGGAGAGATATTTTATTGACATTTGCCTTAAGCCAAATTATGGTCAATATTGGTATAAGTTTGGTACTAACTTTGAATATTGACCATGTAAACATTTAGGACTACACTATTAGGGCCAGACCGCATTGTTATCTAGCACGACTATTTGATTGGCGGATGGCTGCCTGGTCGTGCGGTTTGCACGCTGGACTGTCGTTCGGATTTATCGATGGTCCCGGGTTCAAACCCGCTCCCATCCCCCGTCGTCCTGCGGGAGGTTTGGACTAGGAAGTAAACTATCTTCAACTCTGAAGGAACATCTGAAACATGTAAAACATTTTACAAACATTGTTCTTTTCAATTCTGAGTGTTTCTGTTTTTTAGAATGATTTACGCTGTCTCAAGTACTCCCATTTTTCTACTGTTCCATTTCTTCTTCCTGCTTTGTTCTGCATCAGTCTTTTTACCCATGTCTTTTAAATCCACTGTGCTTTACATTTTAATACACCATAATGTAGTCTATATATATATAGTCTAAGTATATATATATAGCTTATAGAATCACGTGTCGTGCTAAAAAAGTAAGATCTCTTTTGTCTCATTTAGGGTCGAACTCTAGCAGACTGAGAACCACTAGGTTAAGTTCTGTACTTTTTTACAACACACACACACGAATGAAGTTTGTTTTTATGAAATTGTTGCTTCTAGCGAAGAAACATTTCTATTTTTTCATGAAGTAACAAGCTAGAGATTAGCTGTCCATAACATTGGACTTCATTTTAAGACGTGAGTTATATCACATATTAACCCAAAACATGAATCTCATGTCTGTGTTCTTGACAAGTTTTTTTGTTGACAAAGTATTTAAACATGTAAAACAGAAATTGACTAGCTTAGAGTTAATTTGAGAACTATGTACAGAATTATTTTTGTTGTTTATGTATCTAGGCATCTTTGATTATTCCATAAGCAATATATTTATAGATATACTATCTGTAACTCTGCCCATGTAACCAGGTGTATTACCCTCTCATAACTTAGGTCTTCAGCGTTAAAAATGATCCATGTGATATCAAGTAATATACACCATCTTTGTCATATGATCCATATCACATCCACATGTAACATCCATGTTATCCTTATGATATCGTCCATATCAAGTGGATGATATCATCCACTTGATATCTTTCATGTTATATCATCCATTTTATATCATTCATTTTATATCATCGATGTGATATCCTCCATGAAGTGATGTGATATCATCCGACGATATCCTCCATGATATTACATTCACATGATGTACTCCAACTCAATGTGATATACTCCATGTTATAGTATCCATATATCACCCATGTTATAGTATCCATATATCCCCCATGTTATAGTATCCATATATCACCCATGTTATAGTATCCATATATCCCCCATGTTATAGTATCCATATATCACCCATGTTATATCTTCAATGTAAAATTATTCATGTGATATCCATTTGATATCCACCATGTGATATCATCCACTTGATATCCTCAATGTGGTATTTGTTCTGGCTAGTATCTTGGGTGTTATGTAAAGCCACTATTATTTCATCAACTATTCTACATTAGCCAAAGACCATTACATTTACAATATAAACTTGATCAAGTCTTTCTACTACTGTAAATGATGTATTTGTTAACACTTGGGATGTCTGTCTCGTCGTTGCTTATATATCTCAAATGCTAGTCAACCTTCTTCTAAGCTATCGCCATATTGTTCTCTCTTGTTCGTCTATTCTGCTACGTCATTCGTCTGTCTTACTACGTCACTGCTTTTAACGTCGCTAAAAACAATAAATTTATTTATCTACCAAAACCAACATACTCTCTAACAAAACTAGTACACAACATATTCTTAAAACCAACATACTCTCTAACAAAACTAGTACACAACACATTCTTAAAACCAACATACTCTCTAACAAAACTAGTACACAACACATTCTTAATGTTGTACTTTTGCTATTGTTGTGCCCCTTCACATTTGCAGTCACAAGACTGTACACATGTAAGTTGAAAATAGTAAAGGGAGCACAGTCTTGAAGGCGGCCCCCGAGTTCCTACACCGAGTTTAAAACATTCACTTTTGTGACTTAACAAGAACTTCATTTCAAATCATACATGAAAGCAATATAACACATGTACATCAAATTACATGTTTTTTCATTAAAATATAAAAGTGCGCATTTCGGGGAGGTCAATACACAACGTAATACATATATTTTACATTTTCTCTATTAAATGAACGCCTTCACCAAATATGTCTGTGTTCCGTCATGGACATACAATGGTAAGGGTAAGACTAAACTACAAAAAGCGATGTTCTTGCAAATGCTGGTATGAACATTATAGACTATAAGAGTATAGAAGGACTGGTTAGAGTTGGACAGTCATGCTGGGCAGGTCACGTGTCCCCGTATTTTAGTGAGCTGAAATTTGTCTGCGTACCGGAAGCGCTTTAAAGACCAGCCTAGGCGCCGATTTTCTTTTGCTGACATAAAAGAGAGCTCCTGGCAGGAGGCGGTTGGAGATTTCTTACAAAGGCTGTAGATTACATATTCGAAACCAAAAGAAAATCCAATGCCGAGGACAGCCATAGACGGCGAAAAGAGAACCGAAATCAACCACATTCAGACAACGGTTATGTCTGCTTTAGATGTGGCTAAATATGTAGGTTGCAGCTGGGACTACGTAGTTCAGTACTGCCATCCTCATTAAACTCCGCAGATCCAAATGGCTATTTTTTTTTTCTTTCACAAGTCTTCGTTACGAACGCGTCTGTTTATAAACTAGTAATGACAAGAGTTCTAGGAAGAAAAAAGTGGCTAGTTTTCTGAAGTATTTTGTGATTGTTATTATTGTTATTGTTATTATAGCTTTCATATTTCGTATTTAATTTTTAGAAACCTCTATTTCTTTTCTCAATTTCTATAAAGATTGTAAAGTACACGTAAAGGTGGACATATTTATAAAAAACAACAACTCTGCACTTATGGTTGTAACATTGATAAAAACAACAGTGTCTCTTTTAACGATAGGGAAGAACAATTCAATATATATTTCTTTTTAAAAAAATTCTTACAAATTAGATAGAAAAAGTGTCGCCGAAAAAACTTAAGGAAACTAAAACATTTTGTTTGTCAAGTGTGTTTTTTTTTATTTTAAAGATTGCCTTTAAAGAATTGAATGCAGGTAAAGGGTTTTAGGGGTGGGGGTAGTCTAGTAAAATCATAACTAACCTAATTCTGCTACTCTTCTCTATTTTTAGCGGCCCCCGAAAGGGGAAAAGACGCTATTAGTTTTGTGTAGAATGTCCGTCCGTCCGTCCGTCACATTTAGATCTCGTAAACTAGCAAAGATAGTGAAAATCCGACATCATAATATTTTAGACCATTCATAGTTCTATGCAACGACTACTTTTTTTCTATTCTGAAAGCGAAAAATCTAATTTTTTAAATCACTTATGCAAGCAGTTTTTTCATAAAAATACACTACTTTTCACTATTAATAGTAAAAAACACTGAAGGCGCTTTAGTAGGGAAGGTAACAGTCTACCATATTTTTAACACATTTATGCAAACGGTTTTAGATTTTTTGACAAAAAATTATTTTATTTTTACATTTGTATTACTAAGTTCTGTCATACTAATTACTACATTTACACAGTAAAAATGTTTTTTTTTTAAAAGAGAAAACATCTATTGAGTATGCATACAAGTTGGACATAATTTAAAAGAACAATAAATAAGTAGTTTTTCGTATTATTGCGTGAACTGCGGTAACGCATTGTAGCTATCTAACACTTAACTATTGACAATTTTTTTTAACGTAAATGTTTTTTTTTTTTTTTTTTGAGGATTTTGAATAAGGGATTTACTTTTTACAAAACAATTAGATCAATTAGATATTCATTATAAGACATCAGTTAGGCCAGGTTCACATCTAACTACACATTCACTTTCACCTATCCTTCGGTCTGCTGGGCCACAGGGGCACCACACTGATCTGACAACCTTCTTTCTCCATTCTTCTCTGTCGTTTGTCTTTGATAGAATTTCACTTTTTGCCTGCCTGGGTGGACCACTTCGGCGGCCGATTTTGAGTTTGTGTTTCACACAAACTGTTTTTGTAACCTTGTTTTTTTTTTACAATCTAATGCATAACATATAATATGTGTAACATACAGTTCTTATACATGTATCCACAAATATGCATATAGCATTCAAAGTAACATGTTCTTAGTCTTGTTTCCTATTCTAGTACTCTTGATATAAATACTGAGCTGGGGGATGGTGTTCATATGCATATTGGCCCAAGTTTTGATAGCGTCTGCTTTGTGGCGTGCATTAATTATTGTTATGCTTATAATTATTATCTGGCGTGTAAATCAAATTAATTAGACTCTACGAATTCGTCTCGGTGTCCTAGGGTCCAAGCTTTTTGTTGGTTAGTACCGTTGTTCTTGCCACACACACACATGCACACACACACATGCACACACACACACACGCAACGCTGAGATAAGGTTAGAGTTGAAAAAAAAAAGGTCTTAGAATCTCTCTGGACAGTTAGTTGAGAGTCGCCAGGGTCAGGGAGGTATTAGGGTATGGAAGTAGAGATCTAGGTGTTTTTCTTTTCCCGTTAAGAGGGTTTTAGTGTATACTAAGATTACAATACTACCAGATTGTCATTTTGATTTCACAGCAGATGTCAGTCGTGAATTTTTGTGACAATTTTGGCTGTGACAGTCTCTTATGACACACTGTGACACTAGGACTGTAAATAAAATTTTAGTAAGTAACTTTTTTGTTTCGCAATATTAAGAAATGTTGTTTCGCAATATTAAGAACTATTAAGAAGTTAAACTAGTCTAAAGAGTAGCACGCACACGAAAAGACTTTGAATGTAAACGTCCGTAGTTACGCAGCAGATTCATTTACGTTAGAAAATATAGTTCTAGATCTATATGGTGGCTTAAAATTATGCTAAAATATTTTATTTTTTACTACATTCATGCTAACTAAAATAATATGCCTACTTTAATCTCATTTAAAACTAAGTATATTCTTAGTTATTAGCTTTTATATCAGGCTAATCATCAGGAATTACTTTGTGATAAGATTTCTGAAAAAAAAAAAGCGGCAATTTAATAAATTATTTTAACTACTAAATGTGTTAAAGTTTTTCATCTTTGAATTATACAACACGCATAAAAAAAATCAACTTTGGAATTATGTTTGGTCGTGCGATATGCGCACTGGTTTATCATCTCGATGGTCTCGTTTCAAAACCTGCCCGCCTCCATCCCCGGCAGTCCATTTTTTTTTCAACACTTATCTAACAATAATAATATCAAAATTTTCTACCTGATGAGAGACGTGCGAGATTTAATATTTAAATGTAAACATCTCACAAAGAAAATCATATACAAAGGATTGTAGAGTGATAAATTTTAAATTTTGAAGACTCAACAGTAGTGTTAAGTATAAATAAAACTTTCAAACTTTGAGGTCCATTTGCAGCTATGGGTGAAGGTTAACTAGGGTGCCATAGTACTTATGGGTTCGTGAAAGGCATACCTATCATTAGATAGTCCTAAAGATTCGTAGGTTTCAAACCCAAGTCTTCATCTGAATTCGAAAGCCAAGCGCTTCACTACTCGGCCACCATCCCAACAATGCTATCATAAATAAATAAATAAAGTAATAAAAATGACAATGTATGTCACGCGATAGTGATAGTACGCTTGTCCCCTTTGTTAGTTTTTAAACGGAGACACTATCCTGAACTCCTAACAGGGTTCTAGTGCAAAAACTCGCTCAATGTGATCCATTATAAAACTACTGTGTGATCCCGTTAGGGGGAATGGTCGAAATTATATATCCTAATTATTTTCTACTTGTCATTAAGGAGTGAAATATTGTTTTTTATTTTATTTAGACATATGGATAATTAAAATATATTTTATTCTATTCGATTGAAACTGCTGAAATACAAACAAGGTTATAAAGACAGTTTGTGTGGAAACACAAACTCAAAATCGGCCCCCGAAGTGGTCCACCTAGAGTTTTCACCAGGATTCGAACACGGGACTTCCGGTTCCAAGTGCTTTACCCCGTCAGCCACAGCATCTCCATATATTTATTTAGCGTACACTTATGTTTTTAAAATAATAATTATTAACCTTATCCATACATTCAAAATTAATAACATGTTACATGCAATAAAAAGAAACTAAAAAAAGATTTATTCTTCTACCAAAATTAGAAAAATTGGCAACACGAAAAAAATATAATTCTTGACCTACTTTAAGCTACAATTGTGTACAACAAGACTTTCCCCTCACAAATATCTTCATTGTCATTTGTCATACAAACTAGACATAGATCTGGCTAGATCTAGACCTAGTTTTAGATCTAAATCTAGATTCAAGATATAAGTCTAGGTCTAGAAATAGATCTAAGACGTGTAAGTCTAGAACTAGAGATAGATCTAAGTCTATATCTAGATCTAAGTCTCTATCTAGATATAAGTCTATATCTAGATCTAGAACTAGATATAGAATCTTGATATAGAATCTACTATATCTAGACCAGAACTCGTATGAATTTACACGTTTAATCTTACAATTACTAGACCTATGACCTAGGCAAATGTTATGATCATGAATAGTAGGCCTTTTGTTACTTGGTAATGGTGTACCATGCCGCTCATATCCTATTCATTTCTTAATGTGATACTATTGTTTACATAATAAATAAATCTGCACCCCTAAGCTGTCAGAAGATAAGTTATTGCCTTAAGAACTAAAATTTTGTTCATATACTCAATACATTTATAATATATATATATTATAAACATATCTAGATCTGGGCTCTATTTTGTCTTATTTAGACTGTCAAGTGTAGGTCCCTATAATGAAGTTATGTCAAAAACTGCGCTCTATAAAAGTAGTTCTTTATTTTTTATTTTTGAAACTCATAACTAAAACGAAGTTCGTATCAAAATTATTTTTTTAAAACAATATTTGAATCAATATTCTATTCAGTGAGTTAGGTAATAAATGGAAAATATATTTTATAATGATCCATTGACACTTTTACCATTGTGACCTTAAATGCAATTTTTTTGTACCAATGCGCGAATCTATGAATGAAGCTTGAGATATTAATGAAGAAGCCTATGGCCTTAACAAAATAGTTACCTCCCCTGAAGTTTTTCATTTGAAAAGTGGTGTAATGTTTTGAAAACTCTGCTTGCATAGATAATGTTTAAAATTAGATGGTTCACTTACGGAAAAGAAAAAAGTAGACGTTGCATCAGAACTTTGAAAAATCTAAAATATCATGATATCCGATTTTCATTTTCTCTTCTAGTTTCTGAGATCTAAATGGGACAGACGGACGGACAGACAGGCCACACAAAACTAATAGCGTCTTTTCCCCTTTCGGGGGCCGTTAAAAATACCTCAAAAAACTTAACAAAACTTATATTAAGTGAAATTACATCAATTATTTTAAATTGTACTATGCAATTTATTTGTAAAGTCTAACAACGAAAAATTTTTATGATTGGGAATATTTTTAGTAATTGTTTTTGTTTAGCCTCCAGCTTTCATGCTTACAGAATCTCATTGCGCTACGGTCCAATTACTTTTATGGAACAGTTGGGGAATGGGTGAAGGTGTCTGTGCTGCTTTTTCAAAGTATAAAAAACAAACATTTCTCGAGTCTGAATTTGAACTCGAGTTATCGAGCCTCCATGATGGAAGGCCAACAATATGGCCATTAAGCTATTTAAGTATTTATAAAAATAGATGTTTATGTAGACTATTGTTGGTAAAATTGTTAGCCAACTAGCTAATTCTACTTATGGAGTTCATCCCCCCTCATCCTTGTGCATTTCTATATAAAACAACATGAATTAATGACGACTAACAGGTAAATGAATTGGTGAATATTTGTATTGCTTCATGTGTTGTTAGGGACAATGAATAATTGTACAGAGTTTCAACTTGATCCAACAATGGGAAGGTGAAGAATAAAACGTGTACAAGATTTGTACCAGACAGACAGACTAGTGGATATAGACTTTGTCATTAAACTAGGTTCCATGAGCTAACCATCATTTGATCAAATAATGGAGAAATTAATTTAAATTACAAAGTTAAAAACAATAAGTTAAAAGAATATACATCAGCATTATTTTCTATTATGGTGTGCTCGTATGTATCCTCTAAAATTTGAAAATATATACATAATTATCTGGTCTTTTCTTTTTTGTTATTATATACAATGCAAAAAAAAAGGGGGGCAAAAAACAAAAGGAAAATTTTATAAGCCATTATAGACATTTAGTTCGATGTTCTATATCTTTTCAGACTCAGGTTTACAAAATCTCAGAAAAAAAAACGACAAATGCGAAACAAACAAAAAATTGAAGTACAAACCACAAACAAGTTACGCAATACAAAATGAGTTTCCCATTTTTTAACGTTTTCTCCAAAGGAAGACCGGTCAAATAGTCGCTTCCCCCCGGAGTGTCAACAATGAGTTTTCCAAACCTTCTAGTCTTCTTCAAACACTTTGATCCGTGCATTATGCCGTGCTACGTACTAGATCTACTTGACTGTTCACGAGGTGTCGCCGACAACTTTTCCCTATACGAACAAAAGGTCGAGGTCCCTGAGGGTAAACAACGACAAATTCCATTCTACATCTTGTCAACTCATTGATTTGAAACAATAGACGAGCTTGAATTCTATAGAGATCTACACATTACAAGAAACAGCCGCAATTTTTTAAACACAACCTTATGCTTGGAAAGGTTGCGTAGTGATACAAAAACCAATCAACCAACCAACAAACAAGTAGGCCTATATTTCATATTAATATAAGTCAGAAAAAGAAATATTAAGTGAATTATGACCTTTAAAATAATACTTTTTTCCCGTCTATTTGCAAATTGAAAAAAAAAGTTTTATTTAAAGGCTAATTTGTAGTTTGTTTGGTTAACGAATTTTTACTAATGTATAAAGCAAAGGCGTCGCTATGGGTCTTTGTGCAGGTAATGGTGTCCTCCATCGGCCTGAGGAAACAACTTTGTCAATCTAATTTAAACGTTTTGTTGAAACACAGCACTATGATCTATCTATCTATCGAATGTAGAATCCCGAATACAATCTAAATGCATGTACAGACTCCCATATCTTGAACCTCACCGTAAGAATCAGTAGTACCTAAACCCAAAACCTTGCACAAGACAATACTAGGAGAGTAAAGCCAACCAATACAGTCCATTCATCTACATTGTTTGGGGAAAGTAAACCGAACTGGGGAGATGACTCTTATAAAACAGAAGCATCTGTTCTCTTAGACGGAGTTACCATTCTTGGCTGGCTTCTATTGACTGCCTCACGAAAAATGACCTGGCAATCACGACATAAAAAAGAGGTGTTAGGTGTTACTGTTTTGTAGATACACCTTTTCATTGATTGAACACTGGAACAACAAACACTATA